GAAGTGAAGATCGAATAAAGAAATGTCACATACTGTTTAGTTACTGAAGTTCCTGAAACACATGTTAAAAGTCGAATAGGCAAGAACACTGATTTCTAGAGAAAAAAACTATGAATTTCATCACGACAAGAAAAATCGCAGGATATTGTTTTGAATTCTTCATTCTTCTTAGAGATTTCTCAAAATGCACTAGGTCGCCTACTACGTTTTCATTCAGATCGACAATGACTGAGCAAGACTGTTCAAAATTCCTTTGTTTTTGTTTTTTTATAAACTGGATTGATGAAATGTAATTCGCGAAAATCACGACCAATAGATGGCTCTGTTGAACGTCAAATCAACGTCAAATTTCCAACTGAGTATGAACAACAAAAACATTGCCGTATGCACTAATTGCAAATTGTTTATTTCCGAATCATTTTGCAAAATAGCGAATAATAAGTTGACTTCTTGAAATACGTACAAGGTTTCCAGTATGGAAAAAGTTACTTTTTGTGCAGAGAAATTGTCATTTTGATGTGGACAATGGTGGTATTCATCATTGATATCACACTACAATCCCACAGTTTTCAAACATAAGGAATGATCGGAATGGTCCACTCAAAACTTGCATGGACTGGAATGGAACCATACAAGCAATCAGCCAATATGGTATGGGTATGAAGAAATAATTGAATTCATCAAGAAATATCACTGGCTCTTATGAAGGAGATGGAATTCTACTGAAAGGGTTGGAAAAGAAGATATGGATGGAGAGGCTGCTCAGAATGAACAATATCATCGATTTACATAAACAAGGATCTCCAGCAATTGAAGACTTCAAGTTATTCTCAAGATCGAATCATTGCAACCAACATTTATACAATGATTCTAATTCAATTGTATATTATATATAAGGTAGGCACTGGTTTCTTCATTGTAAACAATAGAAGTTCATGCAATAATTCGAGTTTTTTCATCAGGGAGAAATGAGGTTCTGGAATATGCACTTCAACAAATGAATTATTTTCGAATAAAACACATATTTATGAAATTCAAAACAATGGTCGCCATATTTGTTGTTCATACTCGCAAGACTTGTACAGTTAGCCACCAGAGGCCGCACACTTCGTGATTTTCGGTAGATTTTCGCGAATATGGTATGACATTTATATTAGAATGTCATCAGAATTTGACGTTCATTGAAAAGGCAGGAAGCTGCATACCGATATCGTTGAGTTAGATTTTATAAACCTTGGTTGAAACATAAAATTTATAATGAGTCTGAATTTTGTCGCTGCTGATTGAACCTGCAACCTACTCGATATTGTAATCATAAGCTATACACTTGTAGACTTAGCAATGATGGTAAAACCTTCATTGGTGTCATTTATTTAATCAATGAATATTGGATTATCTCGACAGTTCAGAGTTAGTACTGGATAGACCACGACGAGTTTTTTCCTACAAACTATATAGTCTAAGATGACTACTTTCAACAAGGACCTATATATAATCAAAATCTAATTTGAACATATTATTAGGAGGAGAGCCGGCTGCAAAGGACCCCACACGAAAACACGGGAAATTGTCTCTTGGTCAAATTGGCAGAAATTTTACAATGTTGTTGTGGGATAGCTCATTGATAAAATATGTGAGTTTAAAAAGTTTTGTATGTTCAGTTTCTGAGATATAAGCCGACAAGGTTCGTAAAAACGTCGTATCGGGGTAGGATTGACAAAGAAAGAAACCGTTTTTTCAGTATAAATAAGACAAAGTAAGCTAGAAAATGTATTGATCGGAACTCACATGAACATGTCTAGTTATAATCACATAAATTATAGTAAATCGAGGTATACGAGGCACGGTCAAAAAATTCATTTTTCGGAAGAAAAATTCGAGCACTATTCCAAAACCAACAAGTTATATTTTGGTGGGACATTATAGTTTCAGTCTATTGTAGGCTTCAAAAACGTATTTTGATTCTTGATAACTATCTCTGTTCGAAATATGAACTTTTAGAATTTTGTGTTGTACCCCTTTTTGAAAACAATTGAAAGCTTGGTTTTGATCACGAAGGAAGGGATTGATTGATACTGTTGATTGAATGGAAGCTGAGGAAACTCACCAGCGAATTCAGTTGTTCAATATTCCCTTTCATTCAGATACAGGGTGTGTTAGATTTTGTTGAAGATTATTTGACATGTTTCAATTGAATATCTCGAAAACAGTTCCGTTAATTTGGATCTCATTTTACACACACTATTTTCAATATGTTGATTATCATATGCAAAAAGTTTTTTCAATTTTTTATGTTTCGTTTCTGAGATATGCACTTTTGAGTCTACAGTATTACAGGTATTATCACTATTACCTCGGATATTACTATCAAAAATTGATATCTCAGAAACGAAACATAAAAAATTGAAAAACTTTCTGCAAATTAACGGAACTGTTTTCGAGATATTCAATTGAAACATGTTAAATAATCTTCAACAAAATCTAACACACCCTATATTTGTGATCAAAAACAAGCTTTCAATTGTTTTCAAAAAACACAAAATTCAAAGAATTCATATTTCGAACAGAGATAGTTATCAAGAATCAAAATACATTTTCGAGGCCTACAGACTAAAACTATAATGTCTCACCAAAATATAACATGTTGGTTTTGGAATAGTGCTCGAATTTTTTTTCCGAAAAATGAATTTTTTGACGGTCCCTCTTATACACCCTGATTTACTATAATTCAAGTGATCATAACTAGATATGTATTTGAGTTCCGATCAATACATTTTCTAGCTTATTTTGTCTTATTTATACTAAAAAAACAGTTCTTTTCTTCGTCAATCCTACCCCGATACGATGTTTTTACGAACTTTGCAGGCTCATATCTCAGAAACTAAACATACAAAACTTTTCAAACTCACATATTTTTCTAATGAGCCATCCCACAATAACATAGTTAAATTTCAGCCAATTCGACCGAGAGCCAATTTACCGTGTTTTCGTGCGGGGTCCTTTTTACCGTCATCTGAAAATAGAATGTGTGCCAATCACTGATTT